CATGCATATGTCAGTTATGACTTTAAAAAAAAATGAAAGAAGAAACCAGTGAATTTATGCTCTGAAGCTGTTAGCTTCTACACTTATTAGCCTAATATATTTAAATAAATGGTTAATCTACTGATTCCATTATTTTATCTCAATAATATAAAACCAGAATGTTCCAACATTTAATTGCTATTTATTTTGTGAGTACTATGTTTTGATTCTAATGAATGCTTTTTTGTTCCTTTAGGTGTAATCTTCTGAAACATTCATCAGGATCAACTATGCCTTTTGTTGTCTCGAATAAAAATGGGGTGCCCAAAATAGCTGATAGTAAAAATAAAATTGTAAAAGCAACCAAAGCACCACTTAGTCCTGAAAGTTAGCTCCTTTTCTCATTTCATCAGTGAGGTCCTTCTGCCCTCACATTCATGCAAAAATTTTTCAGACCAAGTTTTCCACAATCATGGGCAGAAATAGCATCACTTCACTCCTTACAGAAATACCTCAACTTTTTTTACAGAGTAACACAACATTTAAGGTCTTCATATAAAAACGCTCCCGTGAACACAATTCATACTTTTCTAAGGATAAGTGCAAAGCCTTGCATTAGCAATTCAGGATTTGGTACCACAGGAGCTTGGTAATTATAGGACACTTATCCCACTTACTGCAGAAACTGAAAGGTGCCACCTATGCACAAGGGTATGAAGGAAGGGAAACACTTTTACCATTTAGAAAGCTGTTGAGGGTAGATTTGGGTTGGATGTAAGGAAGAAATTTTTATGATAAGGGTGGTAAAATACAGGAACAGATTGTCCAGAGAATTTGTAGATGCCCCATTGCTGGAAGTCCTCAAAGCCAGGTTGGATGGGACTTTGAGCAACTTATCTAGCGAAAGATGTCCCTGCCTGTGGGAGGCAGATTGGACTACATGATCTTTAGAGTCCCTTCCCACTCAAATCATTATATGATTCTATGACATGGGTCCTCTTTCTTATTATTTTCTTTGTATTCTGTTTTTAGTTAATTTTTTGCAGTCTGGCAGTGCCAAACTAACACTTAGGTTTGTGTACAAAAATCCCATCAATTTAAACAGAAAGTATATTAAATATGATTTCTGTATCATAGGCAAACTGGTACAGTCAAACAAAGACTGATTTTAAATTCTCAAAACACCCCACGGTACTAAGTGTTATAGATCCTGCATTTAACATTCAGATTTAAGCAGCATGAAGTAATCATGGCTTAGAACCACATACTTAAAATGGAGCAAGAAAAACAGGAAAAACACCAGGAGCACTTCTTGCAGCTTCACATGGCTTTAAGCAGAGTTGAAAACCTGAGAACTTGTATCATTACAATACTGAAAAAGTTTTCACAGTATTTCAAACATTCATTACAGTTCTTTGCACCCATTTTACTGACACCTAAGCCTGCATACATTCAAGACTAAAGGATTAGCACTGTGAGTTTAGCCCAAGGTATATGCATACCTATTAGAGGTAAGTATATTAAAGGTGGCGAATAAACCTCTCAGGGCTCTGCACAACAGCATTTTCCAACCTTAGTGAAAAAGCATGCAAGAATTGATAAATGAAAGATTATCTACTATTTAAAAAACAAGTTTTTAAAATACAGGGTTGAATTAAGCATAAGAAGACTTTATTTCATAACTCATTTTCTCACTTAATTTTATACTTAGCAGTGTGTCCAATATAATTACTCATAAAAAATTGCCATATGATTGAATTTTTCTCTTTATCTGAAAAGCAGCACCTGCATCTGATGTTCTACTGATTAGAATCTGGCTCAATGTCTGTAATGGAATTTTCCACATACAAAAAAATAAAATCCAATGTTAATTCTGAGAGAATGATTTCAGAAAGAGTAAACATTTGCAATTTCCATACCTTCTCTAAACTGAGTCTGAATAGGAAAACAAGACGCTCATACTTTCATCTATACAAAAATGAAACATGCTAAATTTCAGTGAGACTTTCAGAAAGTATGGTGGGATTCTAGTGGGAGATTACACAGAACATGAAAATAATATTTTCTGGAGAGTAAAGAAGAGTTTATGTAACTTTTCATATCAATATGAAGTTTTTTTCTACTGCATTTTGAAGGTAAATTAAAACCAATGGATTATTCAGAGACAGTCTTAAAAAACACAGCATCATTGGAAAACACATAATGGAGGAAATAAGACAAAAAACTTGACTGGTGTAAACTTCCCAAGTGGTTCTGACAGAGGAGCATGACTTACAGCCTAGTGAAATGAATGCTGAAATTTGTATTTATTTATCTAGCAAATAAATTGTTCTTTCTGCAAATATTTATAAAAAACTAAATCAAAGACTGAGCAATAATAAGTTTCTAAGTCCTTGGAGCTTTCTCTTAAGGTTCTTAAGAGGACACAGTCTGAACAAACTCATTAATTACGGATTACAGTGAAAACACCTGCAACTACTGATACAGAATTTATGTCACATTCCCAGAACAAACCTTCTCTTTCACTTTCAAATTTAAAGTAGAAAATCAACTACAGTAATTAATATACCCTGGATTTACAAACAATATTATAATAATTCTCAAACCATGACTACTGCATAGGATTAAAGGCAAGTTAATAATTTTCAGAATAAGATAATTACTGAGCAGGCCACATACTTATTTCCTGCTCTGTCAGGTAAAATTGAACTACAGGTGAGCAACTAAAGTATATGGAAATCAACACGGAAGTTTGTAAGATTCTGTATGACAGAAACAAGGACCGTGCCCGTAATTCAGAGTACTAACAAATATCACCACATGGAAGATGTGATGGATCATATGTGATAGACATAGAGAAGAGAAAGCATCAAAGCCTGGCATCAACAGAATACACAAAGAAATAATAGAGACTAATATTTTCAACCAATGGGTAGCAAAAAAAAGGAAAAAGGCACAAGAGATACATACAAGTAAAGATGAGAATACGTGATTAGATACATAAAATTTGAATAAAATGCATTAAAGAGCAGCAGTAGCTTGAACTAAGTCTCCAGCTGGATTCCACCACTGCACTGGTCATTAAACCTACTGGCAACTATCTACTACAACCCTGAAAAGAAATTAAAAATGACTGGCAAATGCTGACTCAAACTGTTCAAATGGAAAGGGCTGTGCAAGTCTGGAGGGAAGTCTGTGCAAAGAATGCAAAATGGAATTGGGAGGCTGGGATAAACAAATAAACAAAAGACTGAAATTACAGCTGGCATAGCAGCTCATGGTATATTAACACAGGATGAAGCCCTTGGTGTCATTATAGCCTAGACAGTAATGCTGAGAGTTTTGGAATTCTCTGAAACTGAACACACAGAACACTTGTACACTTAATTCAAAATGGTGAATGTCTGAAAATAGCTGGAAAATTTGAGCCTTTCACTTTATAAAGCTATCTTAGATTATTATGCACAACTTTTCACTGCAAGAGCAAATATGCTAAAAAACAATTTTCAAATTATCTAAAACATTTCATTAAAAAAATAAATTAAGTAAATCTTAACAGTTACAGTTTAGACATTTATTTTAAAAGCATTTTTATTCACTATCACAACCTTTCCAAAGAGCAGACTACTTCCTATAACACATAAAGTTTTTACACAGTGTGCTAAAGAATGAAATATAACCTTTAAGTCTTTTTCAATTCTACCCTAAACTGACCATGTTGAGACATCCCCCTAATCAGAAACCTATTGCTGGGCCAACTAACTAGCTCAGCCTTGCCCTGCATCATCTTCCAGACTGCCCTTCCTCCCAGCCTTAACTTCATTGCCTACACAGAGAAATAGATTAGTTTCTAACCACTTCTGTTGTGTTCTCACACACCTAAAATAGTACCTTGAGAATGTCCATATTCTAGTTCCACCTGCAGAGCTATCCCCATCTTTTCACAAATGTTTTTGTGAGAACTCCTTAATTTCAAATGCCACAGCACTGATCAGACCATAATATGGGAAAACTCACACTGAGTTTTATGGTTTCTATACAAATTTCTATTTCTACACACTGAGTCCATGATTTCAGCACAACAGGAAAACCATTTGCCCATCCCCTTCTTTTTTGTTGTGCAATATAACTTACTGTAGATAAAACCAAGCTAGGACATATATCCCATTTTTTTCTGCTTGAGAAAAAAGTTATTCAGTAGCAAAGAATAGCTGACAGAAAAAAAACCTAACAAATAATATACCAAAAATAAAGCTAATTAAAAATAAAAAGTGTGGTAGGCTGAAATATGAAGGAAGACATCTCAAAAAGCATAGAAGTTTAACATCCAGCCTTTTTGATTAATTGAGCAGGTCAGAAGTTAGATGAAGCCGAATGAAAACACAGTAAGATTTACTAAGAGCAACAAGTTAATTCACTGGCCCTGTGCTGCTGTTGCACAGGGAACTGCCCTCTAGTTTAGAACTGGACCCCTCCCTCAGGCAATTAAAATCCACCTACAGATCTGCACTGGGGCTGTAGGCACTGAACATGCCTGGGAGGTCACAGCAGATTGTGAGAGCTGGCCTGTCTGCATGGAAAACTTCTGTTCTTTTGGAAGGGAACAGGCAGGTCCTCACCAAAACCTTCTGCATGGTAACTAAAAATCTGAAGACATATTTCTCAGGATGGTAACTTACAAAGTGCTGATTAAAAGAGCTACCTTGGACATATGGAGATAAAGATAGCAGTGCCTAGTTGTATCAAGTGCTGCCAGGAAGATTTTTAGCACCAGGGGTTTTTCATTTTATCTTCTCTTTTAATTTTTTTTCTCTTCTTAAAAAAGGGTGAATATTTTCCAGTTCATTTTCTCTCTTGTGATCAGGCAGTAGATTTCAATTTTTAAAACAGCAAAGCTAGTTTAGGAGGAAACAGTTTCTAGAAGGTTTGGAAATTCACAGCCTTTGAAACTTAAAATTACTTTCCTTGTACGTGCATTAAAAGGCACACCATGAACAAACAGAACAAAGCACAGAGCTCACCTCATAGTAACTTCGCACAGCATTGCAAAACGCTTCATCTGCTACGATTTGTGTCTCCCCGTTCAAAAAGGCCTGGAAACGTTCCTTCAGTACCTGCAGCTGCTGCTTGTTGAGCTATGCAAGAAACAAACAAGGAGAGGGGCGAGAACAAAAATAAATGCAGTTAGTCTCCAAGTAAAAACACACAGCACTGTACACACATGGAACCTGTGAACGGGGAAAAGGAGACAGAGGCTCCCTGGTGAGTGGCAGCTCTTTGGAGCCCCAGCTGGACGAAGACCAGACCCAGACATGCACCCAGGCAGCACCCAAGGGAACTTCTGCTCTTTCCCTGGTGGCTAGACCCTGAGGTAGGTCTGCATGGATACTTCTATGCAGTATTTTATATGCATATGCTGAATATAGAAGTTGGTCTGCTCCACAGCAGCAGCAGCAGCAGCTAATAAAAATTAGCTCTTAGCTTGTCTTCAAATACATAATTTTCTTTTCAGCCTTCAAAGAACTGAGCATACACAACTGAAATGCCTGCATTTTTTGGAGTGAAGTAGGCACTACCATTGGAGTGCTTCAACAAGCATGTGCACTGTGAAGAAAATGGAGTTCTAGCCACTGATGCTACAACACTATTAATTGCCATGAAACAACAGGATCTTAGGGAAGAGCAGACAAAAGCTCCGAGATGGACACCCAATACCATTTGATGGAGTTCATATCAAAGTTGTGAGTACATGTTGAAAACAAACTCCTAGAAGGGCACATTACACAATTAAAACTTGCAATCAACCCATTTTTACCAAAGTTTCATTTTAAGAGAAAAAGCAAAGTTTGGAAGCTCTCCAGGGATCCAGGCAGAGGTCTTCTGCCAAGGTTTCTATCAATTCTTGAATTTTTTAGTAGGATATTTCTCCTTATCAAATCTGTGAGAAGTTTGAATATCACATCATATTCTTGAACTTTAGATTTAACACTAAAAAAAATTTCAAACACAAATGACAGAAAGGTTTTTCAATCCCTCCTGCACTTAGCTTAAGTAAAACAAACAAACAAATAAACATATACCCAGAAAATGTAAATATTTTTGCAGAGGGCAGAAAGTGATATTTCTAATGGATAACCTGCAGCAAATGACACTGCTCCCAATGGAATAATCATTTCTTATTGAAGAATTTTTGGCATCTACAGTAAATATGGTGGCCTTAGGCTTTCAGGTCTCTTATATCTACATTTTGAAGGCATTTAAGATACAACACTGTTATAAAATTAGCAAAATCTCTGCTATCCTGATAATGGGCCTACCATGGATAACTTCTATTTTCTTAATACCACAGGAAGATTTTCATCCTCCACAAAGTTTGCTAAGCTTGCAAACTCATGAGGTTCTTTGAAAAATGTAACAATTTTCTGCAAAACTCTCCAAACTGATTGCAAATTTGAAAGATGTTTTATTTTGACAGGAAACATTAGTATAGATGCCATCTATATACTGGGTATCAGAAATCCTCTAAAAAAATAATGAAATGTAGGCAGTAGCGATGCAAAGCCAAAAAACTATGCCTCTGAAAAAAAAATCCAAGCTAGTAAAAAATACATGATAACTCTGTTCCTCATCTTAACCAAACAATTAACAATACAGAACAAGCCCCAGGAGACCCCTAAGGAAAAAAAGGCCTCCTGTAGAGGCAAGCAGACTTCAATAGAGGTTGCTGTGACTTGGATAAATTTCTTGCATGAACTCCTGAGAGCACCAGCCTGACACTGACACCCCATCCTGTACCACTGCTAATTAAAAATCAATGGGAGAAGGATTCATATTGTGTCTGCACATCCACCCAAAATGGCACCTATCCACCTGCCTGCCAAACACCCACTCCTTGCACAGAATCTTCACAACACTTGATAGCTGTTTCTAACAGAAATCAAACCTCATTGCACTGATTTGATTCCTCTTATTCTTCTCTCATTTTCTAAATATTTTGGACAAGTTGAGATACCAGAAAATTCAAATCATTATGGATGGTTTGAGGGTTTTTTTTCCAGCACGCACATGTTCTTTCGGGGGACTTAGAAAAGAGACGAGCACTGACACGGACAGTGCCCCTCTGCTGAGCAAACAGCTCCTTCATCCCATGGAATATTCACAGCTCTGCTAAGAGAACATGCAGGCTTCCTGCCAAGGCAATTATGAAAATGTGTTTTCATGCTTGCAGACTTCATTCTTTAGGTGATTTGCTTCTCTATTACCCACATACCAAACAAAAACATTATGAATAAGGCAACGAAATATAAATTTAATTCTGAATTTCTCATTTCTAACCATCATAGTTCAGCAAACTGAAATGCCTTTAAAATATTTACATATGACTTTCATATTCACTGCTTTAGGTAGTAAGAATTTCTAAGGGTTGAGTGACATTTTAGAATTGCTGTATATTTCTTAAATTACTTTATTTCAGTGCAAAATCTGCATATACAGAATACTTTATTCTCCTGCAAAGCTAAAAAATAATAGTATTTCCAATAGAAATTATAAAAACTACAACTTACACTAAGGATGATCTGAAGTCTATTTTACATGTCCAAAGTACTATCACATATAGAGACGCAGTTAACTGTCAAGATACGGAATAATTTATAGTAGTCTACTGCAGCATACAGGTCCTCTGGGTCTTTTCACTTGTCAGAATATTGACTGTATAGTGAATTTCCTCTCATCTCTTTTTTTATGATGGTCATTTTAATGAATTTATTAACACTCTTTAATTTGAAGCACTTAAAAATGAAACAAAGCTACAGTAAAAGTAATAGCTTGGAAATGTGGAGAGGGAAAGAAAGACTAATTGCATTGGAATGCTGCAGTAGCAAAGGAAGAAAAATAGGTGACATTAGCTCTTGGATCCTGCAGAGCAGCTCAACCTGTCAAAGTCTGAGCTACCTCTGAAGTTGGTCAACATGGATCAAGAGAAGACATCATGTATAACCAGAATCCCAAGAGAAATGCTTAAAGTTAAGGGCAGTAAGCCCAGGCAGATCTTCTGTGGTAGGAGCTCCCGTAATGGAGCTCAAAGTCCTTGGCAGGAGCATTTCCCTTCGGTCGCTCAAGCCCTTTCCTCCTCTGCTCTGTGTGAGATCCATACACATCAGACCTTTGCCTTCAGTCCACTCTCATCTTCACTGTCGTGCCTGTTTCCACGTTTTAATTTTAGTAGGAAGAACCACAAACAGGAAATTTAAAATAAAATGCATTACCATATGTACCCCCAAACGTAAACTAAACTCAGAATACCACCAGAAGTATACAACAAAGCCTCATTGATTCTGTTGCTTTCCATTAACCTGCCTCAGTTTTGTGTTGCTCCTTTGGATTTCACATTCTCAGAGGTATAGAATGCGTTGTCATAACTGTGTGAGATACTTCATAAACTACCACTGCTGCTTCATGGGAGAATGTATACTGTAACTAAATTCCAGTGACTCAGAATAACAGATTTGATTGCATTTGGCAAAAGACTGAAGATAAGACAAATTTAAGAGAAAACAAGATTAACTGCCCTCAGATTTGTTTTTTTTTTTTCTTTATTGCAATCACACAACAGATAACAACCTTTCTTCCCTTCCATCCATGTGTCCTTCAGAAAAGGTAACTTGTTTTTTCACTTTATATTTGCTAACTTTAGTAAGCTATCAAATAGTGAAAATATTTAAGACAGAGGAAACTTCTCAAAGAGCTATTTAATTAAATTAAGAATAACTTTTTCAAGTTGTAATAGCAATTTAACCAGAGTAATATAAAAGCATGAAAGAGCCTCAAGCACTTAACTACCAAAGAAACTTTCTCACCTTGCATTTAACATTTCAAAGAAGTCATATATCCAGATATATTCCTCTTTGAGCATTAATTTAAAGATTTGCTTTTTCTCTTCTAAACTGAAAGTTGGGCCTGAAAACCTAGAGGCACTTGTGGTTTAGCTCCACTCATACCTTTAAACAATTTCAATTGATTGGTTCAATGATTTTACACCGAATTTAAATTCCTATTTTTATAAGCTCCATTTCAAATAGATCTCAAAGTTTAGTGAGTTATTCCAATGTCACAAGTTTTGCTTCTTAAACTAATAAACTCCAACGAAGGGAAAACGAAGCATATATGGATTTTCAAGAGTAATTTCTCTTTCAAAGACAGAAGGAAAAAAATAAAGCTGCAGCTCCACTGCGCTTGATGCTTCATTAAAGAGCATCTTCCTCTGCTTCTCAGTGCCTAGGCACACAGAGCAGTCACTACGGCCCTGCTCACAGGCGGTGAACAGCAGGCGGCACACACCCAACCCACACACCCGAGCCCCTGGAGAGCTCTGTCGCCCCCAGCGATGGAGTCTAAGCCGCGGCCGCGCTCCCGGGGCCGCCTGGCGGCCATCCCGGGAACCGCAGGCTGCGGCTCCCCGCGGCCATCGCCCGCCCCGACCGCCACACGCACCGGCACCGCATCTCCCGCCTCGCCGCAGCGCGCAAATACCCTTCTCCCACGGAATTGGGAGTCCAGGGAAACAGCAGGAGGTGATGACTGCAACTACAGACAGAGCAAGATAAAATATTTCTTACACAGACTGCAAAAACACGGGGGTAGAGAGGAGACAACCAAAGAGCCTGAACCCTCAATGCTGCAATTTGTATTGTCTGTAGTACCGAACCTAAGTCCCCTAACGCTTCCAAAAAATAGGAAGCATTTTTATTTCTAAATTATGCCATTTTGTATAATGTCTTTGACAGCAGCAGTTGGTTTTGAAAAACTTTAGTCAAAGCTATAATATTTGAGAGCAAAGTGGAAAAAGAGCCCTACAAGGGTTCCCTCAAAAAGTCGTCTCCCTCCCTCCAATTCAGTCAGGAGATAAATTTTCATCTCCCGAATTAAGAGAACTGAAGGTACAAATTAATCATTTCCCAGCTAACTTCTCACACATGTATTTCAACATAACTTTGTTTCTTGTCCTGACAACCCCTTCATCGTGGGGGGAAAAAAAAAACCACCCGAAAAATAACTCGAAATTCTGTCAAGGACTAACTCACCCCATTGCCACAGTTGCATGCTCAAGGATACTGAGTTCAGTGACTCCCTCCTG